GAGGGGGAGGGGGGAGGGGGGAGAGAGATCTAACAAGATAGAGTGTGATGCAGGCTGTAAAATATTAGGTAAGCTTCTGGTGAGCACCAAACCCAGAGGGGAGAGGAACAAGGAAGGTTACTGAAAGAAATTATATTTGAACAGTTTTGAATTATAACAAAGATGCAGTAGGAAAAGGTGGGGAAGGGTGCTATGAATGAGTCACTTTCAAAGAACTGCAAATTGTTAGTTTTTGTTGGAGTATTAGGTTCAAAGAGGAGTATTAAGAGATAGGACTAGATAAGTGGACAGTGGTAAGATTTAAAGGGCTTTGTGTACTAAGGGAAGTGTACAAATTGAAGGATTTTAAGCAGACAAATGCCCTGATCACAATTGTTTTTTGAAAGTTCATTCTGGCTGCAATGCGTGCTTCCTTATCGCAGTGTACAAAAACTTCTTTCTGTCTTTGTGCCTTTCCTTTTCTTTATTCCACCCAGAAGGACTATACTCTCTCTTCATACCTTAATACTTTTTATCTTTCAGTATCCAGTTCAGGTCCCATTTCTGCTGTGATGTGTCCTCCAATTATTTTAGGCCCTATTACTAGTCCCTCCTCTGAACCCTATTAGAAATAGTACCACACAGTTTAGATCCTATTTATTTCATGTGTGTTTTATATCCCTAAGTAGATTGTAAGCTCCTTGAGGATAGGGAATGTTTCATATATATGTGAATAGAAGACATGTTAAACACAAAAATATGTTGTTTGGTCTCTTTCTATTTTGTTTTTAAGGTACAACCACATTATGGACAACGGTCCTTTTAATTAATTTATCATCATGGCTAATGAGGGCTGTCCCAAGGCTGACTGTAGTCCTTTTTCATCAGATAAATATGCCCAACTCATCTTGGCCCAGATCAATAAAATGAGGAATGGACAGCATTTCTGTGATGTGCAGCTGCAAGTTGGGAAGGAAACTTTTAAAGTTCATCGGCTGGTTTTGGCTGCCAGTAGTCCTTACTTTGCAGCTTTATTCACTGGAGGAATGAAAGAGTCCTCAAAAGATGTTGTGCAGATTCTTGGAATTGAAGCTGGAATATTTCAAATACTTATAGATTTCATTTATACAGGTATGTTAAGTGAGCCTATAGCTTTGAGTGAAGAATAATGCAATCACATATGTACTGCTATAGAAACATAAATTGATTTAACTTGTATGGGAAGTATTTTGACAATATGTTATTATGAATCTTTGCAAATTTCATATCTTTTGACCCTGTATTCATTTTCTAGGAATCCTAAGGAATTAATCAGTGATGCCGGCAAATATTTATGTACCAAATGTTTATTGTAACATTATAATAGTAGATATTGAATACAATCTAATTGTCCCTCAGTAGGTTATATCGTTAAGTAAATTATGGTAGATGTATATATAATGGAATATTTTTTAGATCTCGCAAATGATTTAAATAGCACCCCAATTTTGTTAAAAAAAAGATCATTTGTATTTCTGCACGGTAAAATGATCAGAATGTTGGTAAGTGTTTATCTCTAATAATGGAAGATTCTTATTTTTCCCCTTTTGTCTGTTTTTCCTTCAGAATATTTATAATCAACATGTATTATTTTAATCAAAACTTTTTAAAATGTTTCTGAAGTTTTAATAACATTAGAAAATATAACTATATGTAAAGTATATCATATAATATGTAACATAAATGTACATGGAAAAAAGATTTCAAAGAAATATACTAAAGTGTTAATACAGTGTATGTGTATGCGAAAATGTGTGATTTTCACATTCATTTTTATACTTTCCTGCTTTAAGTCTTTTTTTTCAGTAGTGAATACATATTACACTTATAAGCAGGGAAAAAAATGTTTGAAAAAAAAGAGTATGTTTGTTTGGTCTTGTTTTCATAACACACCATGCCCTCCTTAAAGGACTACTTGGTGGGGCATAATTATGTGGCCTGATAAAGTATTGTTTATTTAATGCATGGTACTTAAACCTAGAAAATGAGCAAAGGTGATTTTTCTTTGTGTTACTTCATATTTCTTTATGGAAAATTTCAGAAAATAAGTCTTAATTTTGGAATTGTAAAAATGATTATCTTTTATCTACTGAAAGCAATGCAGCTCCGCCTATTGGCTAATGTACAAAGTAACGTTGAGGGGTTTTTTTTTGTTTTTTGTTTTTTGTTTAAGATTTTATTGGGGAATTAGGGGAGGGGAACAGCATAGGGCAATCAGGGAAGGGGAACAGACAAGTTGCTGTCCTTTTGTTCTTCAGTCTAGTTGTGGAGGATGTTGCTTCACTGGCCCATGTTGGTATTATCATTGCTCTCTTCCCGGGTGAGGCAGATCAGTTGCCGGCCTCTGGACAGCCACTCACGGCGGCTCTTTGCAGCTCACACCTGCTGCTGGCCGCTCACGCTGGCTGCCGGCCACTCACGCTGGCTGCCGGCCACTCACTGTAGCTTATGGCAGCCCACTGCACCTTCACTGCAGCCTATGCCATCTCCGGCTACTCACGACAGCCCAGCTCCAGGTCGAGCTGTAGTTCACCATCTTAGCTGTAGAGAGCAGTGTCACTGGCCCTCATATGGGATCGGACTAGGGGTCCTGCTGCTCAGAGCTGGCATCCCAAACCAGCTCTTAACAAACGCGCCACTCGGCCGGCCCACGTTGAGGGGGTTCTTGATCTTACTTTTCTAAATGACTTGTGTGAGCTCAGAACTGCTTCATAAATACCCCGGCTTTTATTTGCAAAGTAGAAATTAACACAGGTTAATCCAATGGAATTAGTGCTGAACTACATAAAAACAGAAGAAATGCCACAGGTTGTCTATTCTGCCTCTGTTGTCTGACAGTAGCAAGAAGAGATATTTAGTAAAAGAGAGTGTTCATGGCATCGTTACCCTGTTGCTGGTGATTAGTACTTCCATCAAAGAAATAAAAAGTTGTAAAACCTAGAGAAATAAAAGCTACTGAGCATATTTTGGGGGAAATGACATTGTAGAATATTGACAGTTAAGGTTAAAGTTCGTATAACAGTTAAGAAACAACATTTGGCTGCTAGTAAAAGATATAAAATAGCTTAACAAGATAGGAGTTTATTTTTCTACAAAAATGAATCCATAGTAGAACATTCCAAGGCTCATAATGGTGCCTTCATGATTAGTGTCCTATTATTCTTCCAACGTTTTGCTCCATCATCTATAGCTTATAGCTCTGTCACATAAACATGCCCAACTCATCTTGGCTGAACTCCAGCCAGTGGAAAGAAGAAGAGAGGAAGGCAAAAGCACCTGCCAGCTGAGTCTATCCTCTTTTTAAGCTTTTCTGGTAGCCCTACCCAATATATCCTGTTGGCCAAACTCAGTAAAAAATTCACCCCTGTCTGCAAAGGAGGCTAAGAAATGTAGTTTTCAGCAGGTCAAATCAAGGTTCTGTTAGTAAGGATGAAAAGAAAATGAATATTGGGTATTTCTTGGAAGGGAATGTTGTAGTCTTTGAAACAATTCGTTCTTACAAAGCATGTTCTTTGATTTTCATTGTAATAGCATTTTCCTTTTTGGGGTTGTGGGCGCAGCGAAACTTATTACTCTGTTGATCTCTCCTTTGGAGTTGTCTATACATTCTGTTAGCCATTCACAATTCTAATAGATTTTAACAGATGTTTCTCACCTTAGATTTTTAGAATCATGACCTCAGTTTGTGATCTAGCTCTGCCACTAATTAGCTATGTCATTTGAGGCATTTCATTTAACTTTAATTAATTATTCACCCTTTCAACAGATATTTATGAATACTTTTTTTGAGCTATGCACCACAGATATGATGTAAACAAGACAGGCATAGCCTCTGCCTTCAAAGAGCTTTCTAGATAATGCAGATTAGGTATTTACAAAATACAGAGGGTGCCCAAAAAATGTATACATATTTTAAGAAAGGAAAAAACTGTATGTATTAAAATTGTAATAATATATACCGATAACAAAAGATGAATACAAGTCATGTGTATACATTTTTTGGGCACCCCCGGTAGAAATGAACCTGTGAGAGCCTCATTCTCCTTATGGTAAAGTGGGGACAGTAGTACTTTATAATTCATGTGAAGATTAAATGAGATAAATTTTAATAAATATAAAAGTTATTTTTGTAATCTATAAAGCCTTATTAAATTGAAGGACTTCTGGGCTGGCCGAGTGGCGTGTTGGTTAAGAGCTGGCTTGGGACACCAGCTCTGAGCAGCAGAGCCCTGGTTCGGATCCCACATGAGGGCCAGTGACACTGCGCCCTCTACAGCTAAGATGGTGAACAACAGCTCGACCTGGAGCTGAGCTGCCGTGAGTCACTGATGACAGTGTAGGCTGCAGCTCCTGCTGCAGTGGGCTGCCATAAGCTACCATGTGTGGCTGGCAGCTGGTGTGAGCTCCCAACAGCTGCTGTGAGTGGCCGTCCAGAGTCTGGCGACCAATCTTCCTCATCCGGGAAGAGCGCAGTGATAATACCAACATGGGCCAGAGAAATGGTGTCCTCCACAACTAGACTGAAGAACAAAAGGACAGCAACTTGTCTGTTCCCCTTCCCCCCGATTCCCCAGCGCTGTTCCCCTCCCCCAATTCCCCAATTTAAAAAATAAATAAATAAATAAATAATTGGAGGACTTCTTTTTATTATTCTCAAATAACTCTTGGTGTTATCCAGTAGCAGTCATTCAGCCCCCTTAGATCACAGCCTGTGATTTTATTTTCTTCAAATTTGTAGTGAATTCTCATTTCATTCAAGTAAGTCTTAGTTTTCTTCAAAGCCACTACTATTTACTCCCATGGTGAATTCCATTTCTTATACTTTGGAAACCCCTTAGTTTGTATTCAACAAGTTTTATCCTCCCTCTCACCATAATCTCTTTCGCCATTCTTCATTAAAACAAAATTTTTGAAATAAAGAAAGAAAAAAGTAAAACAAAAAATTTGAGCACCTAATCTCAGCTAGGAATACAGAAGGGGCAAGTCATGCCCCAACAGACTTTGTAAATCTAATTGGGAATATGAACTTTAGACCAATAGCTTAGTGGAGTGAATGTTATAAAAGGGATAAAGGGAAACTATAAGATTGAATGGAGAGTTCATCCTTATGTGGTAGGAGAATTACAATGTTTTTTTCCTTCTAAATATATTTGACTATTTGATGTCCTCCTGAAGTCATAGTGTAAATATATGAAAGTGAAGCCATCTGGAAAGAGGGTGGTATATATAGTTACTTAAATGTTAAGTATGTAATAACTCCTCATACGTTATAGACTCTCGGTTATACCTAATATTAAAATTAACATTTGTGTGGCACTTTATCATAATTAAAGATAGGGACCCTGTCTCACCCTTCCTAGTACCTAAGTAAATGGTTTTTAGATGCATATAGCCTTATGTTAAAAACATGGACTTTGATGTCAATCCCTATCCTCAGCTCACTTAACCGTGTGACCTGGGAACAAGTTACTTAGACTTTCTGATTATATTTTCTTAATACAAAAATAAGAAAGAAACCTCAACTATATGGGTTATAGTCAGGATTAAATGAATGTATAAAGCAGTTTATGCTCTCGTTCATTGTAAGTATTCCATAAATGTTAGTTATCATCATTTAAGTTTTGTGCTCTTTGTACAGATTCTTTGTTGCCTTTTTACTTGGCTATCAGAATCAAGTATAATGCTTTTTGAATAAAAGTTAATGTCTGTTTTTATTTTGCTGATTATTTTGTCTCCTATTTCCGTAGGTATAGTGAACATAGGTGTGAATAATGTTCAGGAGTTGATTGTTGCAGCAGACATGCTACAGTTGACTGAAGTTGTTAATCTTTGCTGTGAATTTCTAAAACGACAAATTGATCCACTGAACTGCATAGGGATCTTTCAGTTCTCTGAGCAGATTGCCTGCCATGATCTTTTGGAATTCACAGAAAACTACATTCATGTCCATTTCTTGGAGGTTCAGAGTGGGGAAGAGTTCCTGGCACTTACAAAAGATCAGCTGATCAAAATTTTGCGAAGTGAAGAGCTCAGCATTGAGGATGAATACCAGGTGTTCTTAGCTGCAATGCAGTGGATTCTCAAAGATCTGGGAAAGAGAAGAAAACATGTGGTGGAAGTGCTAGACCCAGTTCGATTCCCTTTATTACCTCCTCAAAGGCTTTTAAAGTATATAGAAGGTAAATTTTTTTTTTTTTGTATTTCAGATTAGTCAATTATCCGGTGGCTTTTTCTCTGTTTGAAATGTGATAGTGTTTTGATTTTTCAGTTCAATAGCAGACATTTATTGAACAATTACTGTATGCCAGATACAGACTTTTATGTTTTGTGGTTAGACAGTAGTATTTCAATATTTCTACCCTTTCATTTTAATCAAATTCTTATGTACCTTTCTTGAGATTAAATCCTAATGGAGATGAGAGTTACAGATAAAATTACTGACAGAGCTAAAATACTGCTGTTTCTGGCAGTACTAATAATTAGTTCAATGTAAGATTTCCTCTTGTTACTCTAAAATTATCAGCAATTTGAGGAAATTGCATATGCTAAAAACAAACCAAAACTCAATAAACCCTGCAAGTCCTCTCATTATAAAATAAATTTTATATTGATATAATATCATAGCTCCTAAGAAGTCTTTGAATCTTTAGGTTCTAAACTTTGAAAATACTTTTTACCATAGTATAAAATAGTTTTTTCATATTAGAAAATGATAATATTTAAATTTATTTTTAAAAACTACTTTAGACCTGGTTTCAAGATTTGGAGCTTTTACTGTTATGCACTGAAACTTTAGGATGTGACTGAATTACAAATGATCTTTTTATAAATTAAATACACTATTAGCATTAAAGGTGTAATTATATGAAGGAATTATATTTAATGTGGGTTTTTAGTTTTTCTCCACTGTAACTTAACAATGTTAACAGAATTTTGTAGTTTTTTTTCTGAGTGATAATTTTGTTTTAATGCATAGAAAGTCAATTCTCATTCACGGTAGTTATGTTCTATAATGTAGCCATGAGCACTGAATTGGCAAATACTAAGCCATTGCTCCTAGGGGAAATATAGGGTAAGTTCTTACAAGCATCTAGTCAAGACATGTTTGTCAACTGATCAATGCATACATAACCTTGTTTTATGTGTGTTTCTGTCAAAACGCCTTATTTACTATATATACTGTTGATTCGTTAACATTGAACTCATGGCCAACAGCACTATAACACAAGCCTGAGTAAAGCCTATCTAACACATGTATTTTCTACAGAAGGCACATCACAGCCTTCTTTCACTTACGAACACTAGACAAGCACTTCAGTGGTATGCTTAGGGGCCATTTTAAACAGCAAAATCACCAACAGAGCACAAAAATGTGAAAAACATAACACTAAATAGGCTGTGAAAAGGACACTTGTTTACAGTATGAGAGCTGAAATAAGGCAGAGTGTCACCTCATTTGGTCTTATTGGGGAACATGAATGTCAGGGTGATTCAAATTTTCTGTCTCATGTGGCATGTCTATGAATGACTAGAAAATACCATGAGTATTAATTTGGGTTACAAATTTCATTTTAGTAAGTAGATGTATTCACAAATAAGGAATCCACAAATAATGAAGACTGTATTTAAATACTATAACAAGAAGAGAGAAATTACCCAGACATATTTTTTGCATGAATCATGTGAGAATTTAGGATTGGGACAAAAGCTTTCATGGTTGAGTTGGTTTTTCCCAAGTGCCACAGATACAGAGTGCTAAAGGAAAGGTCCTCTACTACAAACAAGGGAAGATTCCCTTGAGTTGGGGCATATTTTCCTATAGCTTTCAGTATTATAATATTCTAGTCTTGCACTGCTTTTTAAGCATGCCCAATAGTTACCACCTAAAGGTATTTTGCTGGAGTAAAATTGCAAAGAGTTAAGGGAGAAGTAAATGGAGGATTTTTTGTTTTTTAAAGCAACCTTAATATTTTTCAATTTTGAAACTTTTTCTTTTTGATCGTATTAGAGAAAAAGATGGACAATTTGTGTAGAAAGGTAATGAGACCCTACCACAAAATTCAGAGAGGGACCAAAAGACTTAATTGAAATGGTTAAATTATGTTATGTGAAATGTGTGGATTTTTTTCCCTGGTGTATATATTTTGTATTTGCCACTGGAATAATTCAGGCAATTTAATATTAGCTATATCATAACATATCTATTTCTTGCATTTTAGAGAATGACTTTCTTAAAGTGGTATATGGTCTTATAAAAAGTTTTGGTAATAAAGTATAAAAAAACAAATCACCCAAAGCCAGCCACCCCAAAATAACTAGTTATAATTAACATTCAGATATCTCAGTATAGGAGGATGTATGGGCAGATGGATAGATAGGAAAGAAAATTACAACAATCATTTTATTAAATTACAATATAAATCATACTATTTATAATATTAAAAATATACTTAAATCTCACTAAAAGGTAACAAAGAAGAAACTGAAGTAATAACTAATTTCAGATAACTGTTTCTTTATCCCAAGAAATATTCATTCTAAAAAGTACTTACAGAGTTAAGGACAAAGGATGAAAATCATTAAAAGATGAAATCAATTTCACTTTGTGTTTCATTTTCTACAGTATAGACTCTCTGCTAAGAAAATGAGGTAATTAGCATTGTTATTTTTTACCTACCCCCCATCCCCTGCCAACTCGAGGTTTTGTTCTTTGACTTCTCAGTTCTACTTCTTACCTGCTCATTCTACCACTCTCCAAATTATTAGTTATTAGTGAGAATTCTCAAGATTTTGCTAGTTGACCATCTTTCCTCAATATTCTTCTGGGATGTAGAGACAAGGCTTGGAGACAGTCCCTAGCTAGCATATAATTTTGTGCAAATTAGAAAACAGTGCCTTTTTAGGGCAGTCCAGGCCTTAGAATTTGCCAAGTGGGACATACGTAGACTTTCGTCCCCAATTCACCTCCTCGGCTAAGCACCCTTGAGCAGAAACAACCTACCCAATCATGTTCAAAGTCTTTTTAGGAAATGGACCTAAATGGACCTTTTTAGGAAAAAAGTATATTCTTTAGCAGCAATGAGAAAAATAATATTTGATAATATAGCCATTGTTTGATAATGAGTTTTTATTTTTTTGATTGTTAAGTGTGTTTTATCTTTATAGAAACATGTCTTTGCAATGTCATTTAAAAGTTGATTAAAACATCTTTTTAAACATTGCTTTAGGAGTTTCCGATTTTAATCTTCGTGTTGCATTGCAAACACTTTTGAAAGAGTACTGTGAGGTATGCAAATCTCCCAAAGAGAACAAGTTTTGTAGTTTTCTGCAGACATCTAAGGTTCGACCTCGGAAGAAAGCAAGAAAGTACCTGTATGCAGTAGGTGAGAACCTTTTAAAAAGTAATAGAAATTATCTTTATTTTCAGGATCAAAACCTTTTAATATTTTGTTGTTATTATACATGTCAGAATATTCAGGCGTGTCAAATAGACATTTAATTTAACTTACAGTCTACAGATTTATAAATTGTGTTTATATAATACACTGGACATATCTAAGAATAAAATAGTTACTCATTTGACATCTATAATCTAAATCTTTGGGTTCTTAGATTACCCAATTATTATCAATAGCTGACTAAAGAAATATTGCTTTAAAAGTTGAAAATTTGAATTCTAGTGAAAATAAGAAAAATAAACCTCAAAAATTTTAACAATTCAGTGTCTTAGATGGTCATTAAGGATAATAGGAACCAGTGGTCTCCAAAGTGTGGATGTGCAGGCTAATCCATAGATGTATCAGATGAACATATTAAAACCTCTTTTCATTTTTATTTTTAAAAGCATTAAACCTCATCAATATTATATATATATATTTTGCCAAGATTTATATACAAAATTTCTATATAAATACTTTCCATAAAATAATATTGAATGCCAGCTGTAATTGAAACATTTTTAAAAACAAATACTTTCTATATAATTTATAATATTTATGTAATTGTGTATAATTTTATATATGCTATGATCTATTAATATGTAATTTTTTATTTTTTTTTTAAGATTTTTATTGGGGAATTGGAGGATGGGAACAGTGCTGGGGAATTGGGGGAAAGGGAACAGACAAGTTGCTGTCGTTTTGTTCTTCAGTCTAGTTGTGGAGGA